TGATTCCTGTGCTCGTAACACAATCGAAAAATCTTCGGTCCACACTAGTATCTTCCATACGACTCTTCTGTCCATGATGGTCCCCAACATGACCATCAGAATCAGCACCACCACTATGAGGATCCCAACGTTTCTTATGCAGGGAGTAGGCAGGAATGTATTCTATGGACTTATGGATGTAACCTCTTCCTTCCCTGTCCTTGTCAAGGAGGGCAGTTGCCCCCCTTGGTGCGATCGGGCCGAAGGGCGCGAAGATCTGATACATCTCGAGATTCGTCATGTCCTCCGGAAGACCTCACTCACATCTTGTGGAGCTCTGGAACCGGAGTTTCATTAGGGCCATTAGGGCATAGAGTCATAGAGGAGTTTAGGGTTTAGGGGCCCTCATATAGACCGAAGAAGGCACCCCGTGTGACACCCCGAATTCCTGCGTGTCGGTGAACGAGTGGGTGTTGACCTTATCAGTTGAACAAACAAAGACTACAAATACCCTAAACCCTAAACCCAGCCTCCCACGGAAAGGGCTTAGGGTTTAGAATTTAGGGTTTAGGACGACAAATACCCAGCCTCCCACGAAAATGGCTTAGGGTTCAGAATGTAGGGTCTATGGGGCATTAGGACTACAAAAATACCCAGCCTCCAACGAAAAGGGTGTTGTCATCGTTGTTCCACTTCCCTCCGGGGATGGCCTCACAGCATGAGACCACTGGCTCCTTCAGGCCCTCGGCCCGAACAAATCTCGAGAAATCCTACCTATCGAACCCATATATCTATCTATATATATATATATGCCCGGAACCCCCACGGACTCGCACGTATGCCCCCCCCTTTATGAGGCGCGCCTCATTGGAGAGGAGAGTTCTCAACAGTCCTTTGGCCTCTTTGGGAGCCTGGGGAGCTTGTGGCTCCTGCTTTCCGTAGCCTTTACCTGGGAGAAAGACGGAAAAATGGGGGGGGGGGGGCAAACTTCATCGGTTTTAGGGGCTTTTTCAGGTCGGATATCGGGACACTGCCATTGCCGTCAAATTTAACTTCTAACTCGTTGGAGCATTGATCCGTCGTGACTTTGGCTCCCAACTTAGGAGCAGGCCATAGTCCCCGCCGCCTTTGACCATGAGATCCATTGGCGGTGCTCCCCAGCCGCCCTTACCTCAGAGAAGGCTACACACACCCGCTTTCGGTGGCTTTGAGAAAGTGAGGTCCAGTTTTTTCTCCAACAGAGCCCATGTCTGCTTTGCTCCTTTTTTCCTTCGCCAGCGTATGCTCAGCCCTCGGTCAGGAAATGGCCCGCGCTCTGCAGCATCGCCAGCAGCCGCAGCAACGCCGGGCTTTCCCGAGCCATGCGGAAACGCTGGAAGACGGTCCTAGCCGAATCACACAAAGGCCGGACGGTGGCCCTGCAGTTGTGCCCAATATATAGTACTATGTAATATATCATACATAATATACACTATCTCGTAGTGTGTGTATATATATACACACACACAGACACACACACACACACGCACGCACGCACGCACATCTATATCTATATCTATATCTATATCTATATCTATATCTATATCTATATCTATATATATATATATGAAATTGCATATATCTCTATCTGTACATATGCACGTATGCACGTATGTATGTATGTATGTATGTATGTATGTATGTATGTATGTATGTATGTATAGTAGTCTCAGAACCTCGAAAGCAGCCGAGGCTCTTTACAAGAGCCATGTCTTTCTCACGCCCGGTGGCCACGCAGACGAGGACCAGGCGATGAAGCAAACGGGCCAGCTCTGGCTCGGAGCCGTCCTCGCAAGATCTAGCAGATCATAAGATATGTAGACAGTATAGTCTAGTATGCAATATATATATATACTGCATAATCTCCAGGTTTTAGCTATATTAGTAGCTATAAATAGTAATATACCCATATGCACTCAATATTCCTATGTTACATATTAATGTCCTAGGTATGTTCTGGCTGGGCCCCCAAACCCCCGGCCCAAGCCTCCGGTGGCGGCTGGGCGGCGGTCCTGAGTCTCCCAAAAAGAAGCCCCTGGCTTCTTTTTCAAATCGGGAGCAACTCCAAGGGTTATCTATTTGTAATTCTAGTTATTATGATTATTCGTATATACAAATAAATATGATTGCTATTGTGATGCTTATTAGTAGCATTATTATTACTACTATTATAAGTATCATTCATCCGAGTATTACTATTATTGTTGTTGTTATTCTTATTCTTACTATTATTGTTATTATTAGTATGATTACAGGAAGAATGACGACTGCCGAGGACGCCGCAGCCGCGGAACCTCTGATGGCTCATCGCCCACGAGCTTCCAGAGAGCCTGCAGGAGAGCCTCTGCAGGGGGGGAAATCTTTCAGTTGTTGGATGATGTGGGAAAAGCACCCAAGTGCCTCGAAGCTGTGGTGGTAGCTTTGAAGACCCTTGCGGTCGTCGGTCCTCTCTGACTCGCTTTGCCACACCGACCGTCTGAGGTTCTGAAGCATTGCCTCTCGTGCGAGGTGTGGATGGCATCGATGGTAGCGTGTGCGACATGTAGCGCCTTCGCTCAGCAAAGCTGCCGTCTGAATCACGAAGCGAGTGCAAGCCGCAGGCACGTGATGCAGCACTACACCTTCTGGGCACGACACCTCCAAGCCATGCTTTTCCAAGGCAGCCACCGAGCTTTTCACCGCACCTGACCACAACAGCATGCACACAATCAACAGAAGCCATGCAAGCAACACCTAATTGCTACAAGTAGAAAAGGCTGTCACAGCCAAGCTGGCCTTTCAGGAGCGCTTTGGCAGCAGGAAATTCTTGAAGGCTGATCCTGGCAGCTTTACAGATCGTCGTAACTTCGGAACCAGGGCAAGAAGAAAGCTCGCACTCAACAAAAGCAGTAGACCAATTTCTGTTTACTTTGACTGCGTGGCTTAGGACTCTGGTACAGTGTATTGCTTCGATACCCGGCAAGAGCGCCGTGTGGAAGTGAGCTTCAGTCCTGAGCGAGGCCTCTGTCGATGCCACAGAGGCTTCAAAGATCTCCGGCTTCTCCAACGGCAGCTCCTGATTCATGGGTTGCGACCAAACTTAATTCTGCAGTATCTTATTGAAACTTCAACGCTAAGCCCTGACCCGAGACCCTTTCTCGCTCTCACTCTGGGTCCCCCGACCGCCAGTGCCGCCCGTGCTGGGTCAGGTGGAGGGATGTGAACACAAGAGACTCAGAGATGGGATGGAGTCACAAAGGGCCTGCGCAAGATACTGCATTTTCTCCGCGCCGGCGGAGTGATGGACCATGTTGAAATTTCACGATTCACTGGCAAGTTTGCAAGAGGGTAAGGCTTTTCAGGGATCCCCCAATGTAGTTTAGGCATAGAACACCACAACGCCAACTAGGTACAAGTGGAAGGGAAGCTTAGTCAGAGAACTCCAGGAAGCAAAGAAGCTCAAAACAAATCAACTGACAACTCCATATTTCGCCCCGGTTATCTAAGTTGCCCCGGTTTTGGCTACAGCTTTCCCCGGGCGCAGGGGGTGCGCATGAATCTCTTGGCGCAGCATGATCGTGCTTGTGTGCTCCATCCCCTGGTCAGCTCGGAGGTGTTCGTACTGAGCCCACGTGGTCTGCGCGAGGTCTGGACCTTCCTTCTCACGCAGCTGCTGGTTTTTCGGGTTTTTGTTCAGCCACGGCCCAGGGTTCGAAGCTCCCAAGGTGACCTGCAAAGGGGTGTTTGCTCCTGAGACCCTCTGTGCTTCCCATGGGGGCACGGTGTGTGCTCGAAGCCTCGTAACGCGAGGCAGCTGGAGGTATTTGAACGACCCCGCGCTCTTATACTCGTACCTCGCAGTCTCAACAAACGCCTGGAGCTTTGCTACGAAGGCCTCGTCCAAGGCCGGATCCCAGAAATGTGGGCATCTGCGAACGGGCCGTTTGCTGTAACCCCTTTTGGATGATCTCCGTGTTTTCGCCCTGGGACAGCCAGTGCTCCACAATCGCACGAGCTGCCTCCAAGTCGAGCAATCCCTTCGCGCCCCAGTTCAGGCCCATCTTGCCCGTGATCACGTCTTGAACATCTGGATCGCCCATGGTTCGGACACTCAGACCGAGATGTCACTGAGCCGAGGAGCTTGAGCGAAATTGGCTACAGTGCCTTCCTCTGTCGTTCTCACTCTTCCTTCTGCCTTAGTTTTGAACCCCTATTTGACGTCCTTGAACCCTAAACCCCAAAGGTACCCTAAACCCTAAACAGGAGTGCTTTTGGACCAACGGCCCACCTCCTTCGCAGTGCTTAGGTGTCCAAGGCCCTGCTCCAAAGCCGCAGCTGCTGCGCGGCCATTGCCCGAGCCTGACTTTTTGCGCGACAGAATACTATATATTGTATGCCATGTTACGTATATCATTACAATATAGTCTTATGGGCTGTTTTTTATATCATTTCAACATCGTATTATAATCTACATTATTTACAATGTAGTCTTAGAATCTGAATTACAGTAGATTACCACTTCTAACCCGCATTGACTGGAGGCCTGACTGGCTTTACGCTCTCACAACTCGGACGCCAGATGAGTGGGCCTGGGGTCTTACCCAAGTACCTACTACTAATCGGCCTATTTCCCTATATGCCAAGACATCAGTTCAGGGATCCATGCTCTTAGTATCCTATATCAGTTTTTCTGGATCCATGCTCCTGGTATCTTATAATGAGTTTATGGATCCAATGCTCTTCGTAGCCCATTTCTCATTTTCCTTCTTTTTAAAGGTGGCAGAAGGCTCTATTTCTGCAGCGGCGAGTGACTCTCCTCGAGCTGGCCGAGCTCGGCAAAGGCCCTGGCCAGCTCCAGGTTCGTTGTCGGGCCTGCGCTTCTGAAGTCGACCCCTCAAAGCAAAGCCTCCAAAGACAAATACCCACCCCCCCCTCCCCTTTTTCAGCCCGGGCTTCTTGTGTGCCACCTGAAACCATCGGCCCCTAAACCTTGGAATGGGATGGATCCGAGACCCGAAAGCCTCAGATCCGCTTTAGAGTCGGATGAGGAGAGGAAAATCATGCAGAAATGCGGGGGGGGGGGGGGGGNNGGGGGGGGGGGGGGGGGGGTAGTATTGGAGTCAGATGCATGTGGGGGGAGTTGTCTCGTGTCACAGCTGAAGCGACATTGCCCCGCCTTCCCCCTGTGCCCGCAGCGAATGGATCCGAAGCCTGGCCAAATCCTTGGCCTGCTCGACAGCCTCACACTGGATCTCAACAAGTCAGTTTCCCCCCCACACAAGGCCTCTAAGCGCTCGCTTGATCAGGGGATCGAATTGTGCCGAGTCATGAGTCATCAGTCTTGTGCTGAAGTTTGGCGAGAGGGGCTCTGAATATCAAAAAGACTGCTGGAGTCCAGCCTGCGAAGAGGCTTGCGGCGCCTTTGCTGTCATGGCAGCCGCCGCCTCTACTGTAACAAGGTACATCAAGGGCTGCCATGACTCAACTTGAGGCCCACCCTCTCCGAGCCTCGGCAGTGGTTGCTCCTTTGCTCCCTTTGCCGGCNNTCGCCAGGCTTGTCCGAGTTGTGAGAGCGTAAACCCTAGGGTTTTGGGTTTACTCAGCGAAGTCGTTGCTGCCAAGGATCTCGCTCGGCCTCTGCCCAAAGAGGAGCAAAGGCATCTGCAGGCTGTCCTCCCAGGTGGCCATGGTCCAGCACACGCTGAGCAGCGAAGTCCACGCCTGCAAAGCCTGCGAGACACGATGCGCCGATACGGGAAGACTGGTGTAAGGGCTTTCAGCGTTTCAGCCTTCATGTACCTTATAAACGCTGTGAAGAAGAAGCAGTGAGTGGAATCCCTGCAGCAAGAGGTAGCTGCATCCAAGATGTGTGATCATTAGCTTTGGTGGGTGACAAGAGAGCATCATGGTACAGAACAAGGTGCAGCATGTTTTCGCGAACGCTCTCAATACAACGATGCAAATCCATCGGCATGTTCATGAAAACAAGAGCACAACCCTCCCACAAAAAAGGCACATGGTAGCGGCTGCAAGCGTGCTGGAGTCATCAACGAGAAAGGATGAGAAGAGAAGGTTGCCTCAACACGGCTCCCCACTGCTCCGGTAAACACATGAAACGATGTAGGATCATGCAGACATCTACCCAGAATGCCAGAAAACTTGGATCTTCCCCCACCCCGAAGACACCCTAGCTTCTGAACCCACATCCTCCCGACTCTTCACGAAAAAAGTCCCCCCCCCCCCTCCCCAAAAGCGGTCCTTGATACTCCAGAAGCGAGCGCTTGGTACCCAGGTCATAGGGCCTCGCGGGCGGCGCGTGCAGCGTCTCCTTCCAGAAAGTCCCGAGCAAGCCACAGAGACCTCAATTTAGTTCAGGGCCCAAGGTCGAGGATCTCGGTGCCCGTCGGGGTTACCAGGGTTTTGGGCTCCGAGTTTCCACAGAAGTTGCTAAGTGACTGTTAAGTCTTTAAGTTGTCTTACAGAGAGCAAGGTCGTACCACTACTCGTTAGGCAGCCAAACACCTGGACGGGACACGGTGCTTCGCGCGAGTTTCCCTTGCAATCTGCTCAGGCGTAGTTTGGACTTCTCGGAACCAATAGCGGTGTGCCCGGCTGCCCAGATGGTACGCCAGCCTCAAGTGAGCTCAAGGCAAGGCCAAAGTTGGGACAGTCCGGCGTTTCCTCTGTTGAGCACATACATTGAGGCGAGTCTCTCTTGTGTTGGGTGGAAGAAATCCCAACCAGCTGTCCAAAGTCTTGCAGACATTCCAATTTCCTCCCCGAAGAACCTCATCAGCAAGCCAAAGGGGCAGCTTGGCCTAAACGACGCGGGCGCGCTACATTGCTACATGATGCTACATGCTGGTTCGGCTGTGGAGCACATACTCGAGGTGAGGGTCATAGGGAACGTCTTTCACCACATCTCCACGAGAGAAAGCAAAGCGAGCCTTTCAGGGGCGAAACAAAGTCAAACAAACCATCACGAATTCAACTCGCCTCAGCTCCCGTGACATCGTGGAGGTAAGCAGCTCAGGTCAGAGCCGTCCAGAAGAGCGACGGCGGGGGCTTCTTTCTGAAGTCTGTGCGACATTGCCGCGTCTTGATTCGCAAGAAAGGATCCTCGGCTGGTTGCCCACCTCCCAGACCCCGGCACCTGCTAAAAAATCGAAGGAACAGTACCGGTACCTCAATTTACACATGGAAGTATCCGCAAATAGGGGACCCTAATATAGCACCCTAAATAGCAGGATCCTTATTATAAGGACCTCAAATTAAGGTACCCCGTATTATCGGAAACTCCGACATGGGTTTGAGCAACAGATAAGACAAGAGTCATCCTTCTGGGCATCCCCGAAGGTATCAGCACAAAGGATGGGCACGGCCCGGCAAGGGGCCAGCTCGGCACAGTCGGGCATCCCGGGCACATAGTGTTTTGGAAGCGTGTAACCTGGGAAAGGCCACAAGATACGGTTGATGGTATAAATTCCGCATTAACCCTCATAAGGAATATACCACAATTCCCATAATTTAGGGTCCTTAAGATAACGCAGGATTTATATCATCAACAGTAGTACCGGTTTTATGGGCTCTGGAATCTGGAGTCGGGAGCTCTCCCATGTTTTAGGCTTGGTCCGCCGTGGTGGCAGACAGGAAGTCTTGTTTCTTCGGAAGCGCTTCGTGCATGGGCCTGCCGGAAACTCCTGCGGGCTAAGGTACCGACACGTGCCACGGGGCAACTTCTAGATAATGGGCTACGCCATTTAGAGCCAGAGCAGATGAGGATGGGAAGAAAGACCGCGGCAGAAAGAGAGAGCGAGAGAGAGAGAGGGAGAGATGGAGCGAAAGAGATCCAGAAAACGAGAGCCTATTAAAAAAGAGGAAAAACGCGTGAAAAGGTAAAAGGAGAGCTCAACAAAGAGCAAAAAGAGCGAGAGAGAAAGCGAGGGACAGCAAGGGGATGCAGGGGAGGAACCACATCCTGTAGCAGCTAGGGTTGAAGATGCATAGCACTTTGCAGGCAAAAGCAAAGTCCCGGGTGCTGCCGGCATAGGTCGTGAGGATCGGCTTCTGGCTCTTGCAGCATGCCAGTTGCTCCAAGCAGAGCACGTCCCAATCCTGCACAAAACCTTGGCTGTGTGCGATACTCGATACTCCATCCCCAAGAGTACTCAGAACTCCTAACGAACGAGCAATAACCACAAAGCAATTCGTGAACTGGAAGGACATGGAAGGACTGCGGCCGTGCTGTAGTTGGTGTAAGCATTCTGGCCGTGCTCCTGAGTCGCACCAGTACTTGTGGAAAGCAGCCTGTGTCCTTGTTGTCTCCCGGTACAGTGGTGGTCGTGGTCGTGATCGTCATGGTCATCGTGGTAGTAAATCACTGTTTGGGGACCTACACCGGCATAATGCTGACTGCTGCCGCAGGGCGCATGTGGCTGTCAATCTGGAAATAGAAGTCCTCGTTTCGGAAGAGCTCTTGCTGGATCAGTGCCCGAGCATAGCAGGGCCCTCGAGCTTCTGTGTGGTGAAGGAAGTAGGTCCGGATGCGGGCAGACCATGTTCCTCTTGATAGCTCCAACTGACAGTTCTTCGCTCCCACAGAAGGTACTGATAGGTGCGTGCCCAGCTGCCCAAGTCGAGCAGAAAGCTGTCTGAATCTGATGGGGCCACCTGGCTCGGTGCACTGCTCCCTCCAGACAAGCCAATGTAAGGTCGGACGGGCCTGAAAGCAAACTCCAGCAACCACGCGGTCAGGATGCTTGGCTTTTTGGAAAAGATCCTGAAATGGGGTCGGTCATCCTCAACTCTTTCTCGAACCTCTCTGCGGCTGCCAAGTGACCTGGATCGTATACTGACACCTCGGGAGCAGGCCCACAGGCTGGGCTTTTGAACTGCGGAATCATCAAAACCGACTGTTTTCCATCCAAACCGCAGGTGTGCCACCGAGTCTCTGTGTATCGCGGTAGCTCGCAATGGAAACGAAGATTGTTTCCCTCCTGCTTGCCATGACATTACGCCCTTGCAGGGGCTCCTGCTATCACCTGCTCGCCGGATGCGTGTTGCACGTGCTTTGTGCTGCTGTTTTTGCCTTGTCATACACGGACTGAAACGTCAAGTGCATGAATCTACTCTGACTCTGACAAGTAGGTCTTCTCGCCGTTCCACTTCCAAGGGCTATGGCAAGAAACGCTTGGCAGGCGGACCGATGCAATGAAGACTGTGTGCAGCCAAACCCCCAACTTGAGCCACGTTTGAGAAGACATCGGGTAGCCAGACACCTGCCGTGCTGGAAGGACACCGCAGAAGCCGAGGCTGTTACCATAGTCCCGCGCATATCCTCCGTTACCATAGCCGTCGCCATAACCTGTGTCGTTGTAGTACCAGTCCATCATACCTTTGCATGGCATGACAGGAATGCAAGGCAGAAATTTGACAGGGACAACTCTTCACGGTGACTAGCGTCCAGCCAGCCATGCAGCCAGGCCACCACCCTTTTTCATCTTGGCCAAGTCAAGCACAAGCAATCCCTTCTACAGTGCTGGGCCTTGAGAAAACACCACCCAGACAGGCTGACAGGAAGAAGAGGGACGGCTCATCGGCTAAGGCCAAGTCCCAACTCATTAGCCACATGAGAACCCCTACAACATGGGAGCAGGGAGTACTTAATGGCTCGGATTGACGAAGCCGCTCGCACTGCAACTTCAGCGCGCATGCTTGTGGCAGGCCTCTCGGAGGACGAAGACTTTCGCCTTTGCACGGCAATGGAGCCAGCGGCTGTGCTTTCCAAAGGGAACAACAAGCAGAAACGGCACTTGTTGCATGATCCAGTAAGTTGATACTTGGGACTTTTCCTGAAAGGCCTAGTCAAAAATTGGCACTTCCTTCAGCCTGTAGCATGCCATATTGTCGCTGTCCTGCTGCCATGTCCACAGGCATACAGGGCAACCAAGGTAATGCGCTCATGCGACCCTGCCGTACTATACATATATTAGACCATGTGCTACACAGTTTGCATACTTTTTGCTGAACTTTCATGTGGCCTCACGATCGTAGAAGCAGGACAACATGCTACTCTCTTGGAATTGCGAGGCTGTCGACAAGTCTTGCCTTGCTAGCCCCGGAACCCGGGAGTTCTTAAAGAGACGAGTATGGTGAGTCACAAAAAGGCACCCTCTCACACCCTCTGCGCAAGGGCCTGGATGCTGACCGCTTCCTCGCGGAGCTTTTCCTGGCAGTATCTGCGTTTTTTGACGGATCTTGCCACCTCCAGGGCTACTCCTTTGCTCATGAATCGCACAGGCGGTGCTTTCGCGCGGTCACGCATGGTGCCTTGGCTCGGCCATGATCTGTACAAACCTGGTCCTCAAGTGTGGGTTCTGCTGTACACATCCGACATCTGCAGAGATGCACTCGCAAAGGGAAAACGGTCGACACTGGAGGTACAGATCGAGATTTCTTCCGAAGCTCAGAAGTGGCTGCCGACGATACCTACCTTGGGAATGGGCAAACTGCATTTGCTCCCGAGTCTTTTGCAGTCGACCGCCGGCTTGTTTGGGCACCTCACTGCACCACGGTTACTGGGGTTCTTCCCCCCGAAGACCAGCAAAGTGCGACCGGAATCCTGGAAGCAAGATCCCACTTATGGTTTCGGCGCTCACTCTCGTTTCTACAGTGTTTGCCTGGAACTGTACCTGAAGAACTTCAGACAAGGCTTTGATCGCGAGTGTGGCACACTTGTGCTTCTTTATTTCGCCACGGTTTGTGAAATTGCCGTCGTGGTTTACGCAAGGAGAAGTCACTGCGTTTTGTGACTTTGCTGGACTGCATCCTCCTAGAAGGCCAAGGAGCAGGACAGCACGGATGGACATCGTCGCAGCGCCCAACAGCTGATCACGGATGTCCCTCACAGCAGAACTCACTCCACATATATGTCTAGGCCCTGCAGAGCTGAAAGGCCTGTTGAAAAGCACGTTGGGCGGCATCATCTGCTTGGCATGCACCTTCTGGCTGGCTAAAGTCACAGACCACAGCCCCAAACGAAGAATATCCAACACACACGACGCTCTCATAATGACATAGTGTGTAATATGGGCGCGCCTTGGCCAAGGACTTGTCCCACTTAGCACGCGCATAGCGCAGGACAATGGCCTTCAATCGCTCGGTACTGACCTCCGCTGGACACCAACTTCCTGGCGCAGAAACCACACGAAGCTCTCCTGGTCTTGCAGTCCGGGAACATCCAAAGATCCGCTGCACAGCAGTCGCTGCCTGCATGAAATCACTCCAGGTTTCCACAAGCAGAACCGTCCAGCACTGACGGGCTCCAGGCACGAAGCACCATCCCCTTTGCCAAGTCACATCAGCGAAGGAGACAAGTCATGCAACGGGACCCAGCAATCTTCCTGAGTTCCAGCATTGAGTGTGGTCGTTTCTGCTGCGAGGCTCGGTACGGCAGCAGTAGTCTAGGCATGCGGCATCTGCCTCTGAATCCGCATCCGGCCAAGCCAAGGCCAGAAACTCCCGAACGTGGAAGTCAAAGCCTTCAGGAAATAGGGCGTCAACGCTCAGATCCACGTCGCGCGAAGCAAACGAACCCAAAGAAGCTTGGGGCGTCACAAGCATCCTCTGCATCCACGAAGAAGTCTGCATGTAAACCAGAGTCCTCCCAGGCTGTGTACTGACTTTACTTTACGCCCTAGGCCTCTAGGCGTGGAGGTGACAACAACTGCCTGGACTTGTTTCAGGCGCAGTCGGGGTTCGCCGTCCTGAGCTGTTTCACCGCTCACACACACAGCGCGGTATTAGCCTTCCCTCTATGTATGGCCCTCCAATTATTCCAATTCCCAGCTTGGCATCCACGAAGTTCCAGAGCTGGGAAGCATTCTTCGAGTCCAGGTGGTCTGCAATCCACTGATTCGCATGAACAACCAGCACAGGAAGGCCAAAGAAGTCGGCGCACCGCAAAGCCTGCGCTCTTCGGCAAGCCATCGTGAACCATGAGCCCTGATCCTACAAGCCCCCTAGGCCCTAGTTAGAAACCCCTAGACTCCTAAAAGTTTTAGGGCCTAAACCCCCTAAACCCTAAACCGTTAAAGCCCCCACCTTCTCCAGGTCTTGGGCATCCCGAATGAAGTCTCGGCCTCCATGCAAAAACTCCAAGAGACGCTCCAACTCCTCGGCCGGCCAACAAACCTGCAAAGAGGCAAAAAAAGCCCCCGGGAAGGGAGTTTTGCGGTCAAAAAAACGGAAGCGCGAAGCCAGGGCGGAGGTGAGACAAGAAGCTCCGGAAGGGAGCTTGCTTTCCCTTCTTTGACTTTTTTTTGGGGGGGTTCTTGGGCTTCTTGCGTCTGTGGCTTGCTTCTTAGTTATTCAGAACTCCAAGACCCCAAACCCTGAACCAGAATCAGGGTTTCCCTTTTTTGAGGTTCCTGCATATTGGGGAACCAGGCCTTCACTTGCTCATGCGCCGTCTCAGCCCACTTCCCCGATAGCATGGCCGCGAAATAGTTGGAGGCCTGAAGTTGCGCGACGGATTGGCCTTACAGGTGCTACCCCTTGTTTCCATGCTCAGTACGACTGCTGCTAGTACTGGTCCTATACTTGTCCTACTGGTACTGCGACGACTACTGCAACTGCAACTACAAGTACAACAACTACTACCACGACCGCGAGCAGTCGTGGTGGTAGCCGTCGTAGTAGCCGTCGTCTTCGTAGGAAGAAGTAGTAGTAGCAGTAGCAGTAGCAGTAGCAGTAGCAGTAGCAGTAGCAGTAGCAGTAGTAGTAGTAGTAGTAGTAGGAGGAGGAGGAGGAGGAGTGGTAGCAGGAGTACGTAACGGTCGCGGTTACGGATCGCGGTCGTGGTGGTGGTGGTGGTGGTGGTGGTGGTGGTGGCCGCAGTCGTCATCGTCATGGCGTCGCTGTAGTGGTAGCAGGTCGGGGCCGGCCTCAGTAGCTGTAGCAAGGCGAGTAGGAGTAGGAGGAGGAGGAGGCGCAGCTCGAACACCCCGTCAAGGCTTGCCGGTCTAGGCTGGCGACTTCGAGGAGCAAAGGTAGAAAACCACCATAGACTGCTTTGCAGTCTTGGCTGGCACCGGGCTCGCCGCAAAGGAACCTTCGAGGCAAGTGGCATTGCATCACGGTCCCTTGACACCTATGGCTTCTGTCCCAGGATTAACCAGCTTGAAACCGCCAAACATCGAAAACTTGCATCGAACTGTAAACCTCAAACCACGCGACCAGAGGCTGTCCAGGGAGTGCTCCTGGAAGCTCCGAAGCAAGTCCTCAGCGATGCATCGGACGATCCAGTCTGTCTGCACACCACCGTCGACGATGCTTTGTCATGTCTTTCGAGAACTTAAACAAGAACGACCAAAAGGTTGCAGGGCCAAGCTCCTGAGACAAACATCCCGGACTGCGCCGTCGCCAGTTTCCATACAGGCGCTCACGCCTCAGCATGCCGACACCACGAGGGCGGTCTAAGCGGGCAACTTGGGGTGTCAGAGTGTGGCAAGATCAGCACAGAGCATGTGAGAGCTGCGAGTAGACATGGCTTCAAGGACTCCTAGTGACTCCTAAATAGGACCTATACTCCAATGCCAGCTCCGGTCTGTTTCACACGGCCCACAAGGACAGTGCGCAGTTTACTCCGGCCACGCAAGCCGGCCTTTGAATGCAGGGTATAGTGCAGACCACTGAAGCTGGGCCATCTTCGTCAAGGTGCAGTGCCGAATGATTTCTGAGCATGTTAACTCTGCTAGAGCTGCCTTCTGCAAGCTTGCGGAACTTGCCAACACCATGATGGCAAGACAATGCTCGATATTGTGGAGCCCTGGATGGCAGCTTGGCGCTGTTGCTAAGCTTGAACTCCTTATGCACTGGGCCACGAAGTTCGGGTACGAAAGGACACGTCCAAGCTCGGCCACGACTCCTGCAAGTGTCAGATGGTGTCTTTGGGATGCCGGTGGTCGTGCCGCCTGGCAACTGCGCTTCGGATTGCTGCCGGTCTTCGAAAGAGCATCGTTGACGATGAAGGGCTCTTCCATCAAGCTCGGGTAGAAATTCTGCTTGCTGAGATCCACCAGACGGCCTAGGTTCATGTGGACGACCTGCATGTCGTCATCTTCAACACTGCCAGCCACACACACACACACATTTCTTGCGAACTTCTCCCAGCTGTAGTAGGTCGCCAGTGTCTCAGTACCGGCATCAGACAGCACGTGAGCGAGGGCAGCCCTTACAAAACCGAGTGCCAATATGTCAGAGGTGCGTCGCTTCTCGTAGTACGCATCGATTCTCCGCACCTATTCTACATGAAACACGGGTGTCGGTTTTGGGATTTGGCACCGGGTCGACACGAAATTGAGATTTGTCCTGCTGCAATCAAGAGGTCCCGAATCCCGCTAGTCGCGCAAATTGTAGTAGGAATTCCGAAGTTAACTCAACTGTATGTTGTCGCTGTTGCCGATGACCGCCGGGTATTCCATGATGACTTGCGTGTCCAGAATCGTGCGGAAACCCGACCCGTGGCTTGCCACACGATCTTGTCTCGAATCAGCAGCTTGGAATCCTTCAAAGCCTTGTGCAACTTGCCCGTGTCAACGAGTCCGACGTCGCGGACGTGATGTACAAGGGGAGCTTCATCGAGCAATCTCCCGATGGACGTCACGTCCGCACCCAACCGCTCAAGCTGCATCCCCGCTTCGTGACTGCAGTCTGTCCCGCTTGCAAACTTTTGATCAGGTCGCCGCGTACCACCATTAGCAAGCCTTCGCTGTTGTTGCATGTTGGTCATGCGCTGGAGCGCGATGCTGAGCTCGGGCGACAGGCGCATGCTGGAACAGGATCAGGTACAAAGTCTGAGCGCTTAGGTCCACCATGCAGGAGGCCTAGATTCATCATAACGCCTGCATGTCCTCATCTTGCCAAGCACACAGACATTCCTGGCGAACTTCTCCCAAGTGCGGTAGATCTCCATCATCCCAGCAGTGAGCAGGCGGCAATAGTTGCAGCACCGAATGCGGACATATTGGAGGGTACCGGTCCGGTATTATAGATATCGATTCTCAACAACCGATATCACATTTTCAGCACAGGTATCGGCTTTCGGATTGGATGTCAGGTCCCATGAAACTGAGAATTGTCCTCCTGTAGTGCGGACAATCAGGTGGCCCGAATCACACTCACTGTTAGTAGGCATTTCGGAGTCACTGACTCAGGCGTGTGTTGTCGCTGTTGGCGATGACAGCAAGACAGTCCATGGTGACTTGCTGTGGCACGTCATAAACTTGCGACTAACAGAGGTCGGAATAGTCAGCAACTTGGAGCCAGTGCGTTCCGTCTATGCGCTTTTTTCATCAGGTCCTGACGAACCACCATTACCATGCGGTCACTCTTGCTGTAGGCTGTTATGCCCTGAAGCGCGATGGTGACAAGCTCATTTGGCAGCTCGCACAAAGTCGCCGGCCAAGAGGACGACGTCCACGGTTGCACTCAAGCGACGCCGGTGGCCACAGTGACAGGTTTACTCTCCCGGAAAGTACTGAAAACTGTGGGTTACGATTTGGTAACTGGGCTACATATATAACTCGACAAACTTGTCCTTCAACGGCTGGCGAGCTTGAGTTGAGCCGATGTCCGCGCGAGTCAAACGCACCGAAGCTCAAGATGCAGAGGTCAGCCTACCAGGTCTCTCCCGAGTTGCCCGGCCCTTCACAGCGGTCCAGAAGCCTTCATCCACAGACCAATGCTGGCAGTGCAAGGTATAATACTTAGCTAACACGAACTGTAACTTCTCATCAACTCAAGTTCGACGGTCGGTTTGGCTGTGGCATTCCGGGCATTCTTGACCCTTCAAAACTGGAATCCCAGCAAGGCCCTTGGAAGCCTAAACCCCACCAACCCCCCAAAAGGGCCCCGAAACCCTAAAACCCTAAACCCTAAAGCCCTAAACCCTAAAACCCTAATTTAAAACCCCAAAACCCTAAACCCTAAAACCCTAAAGCCCTAAAGCCCTAAAACCCTAAAGCCCTAAACCCTAAAGCCCTAAACCCCTAAAACCCTGAAACCCTAAACCTGCAAAACCCTAAAGCCCTAAAAGCCCTAAAACCCTAAAGCCCTCAACCCTAAAACCCTAAAAACCCTAAAGCCCTAATTTAAAACCCTAAAACCCTAACTCTAAACCCCCCCAAGGGCCCCGACAGGGCCAAGGCATCCCGGAGCCCGAGCTTCGCGGCCAGGCGAAGCGTCCGCTCCGCGAGTCCCAGGCCCAGGGAGCCCCGAGCCGAGGCCTCGAAACGCGTCAGGCGCTGGGTCGGGTGTTCCGGAGGGTTTAGGGTTTCGGGTTTCAGCACTCACAACTAGCACAAGCCAGGCAGGGTTTAGGGTTTAAGGAGGGTTAAGATGGGGGGGGGCCTAAAGCTCCTGGACCCTTGATGCCCTAGAGGCCACGCTGCAGCCAGGGTTCCGTTCCCCCCATCTGAGCCCTGAATCGGCTCCATGTCGAATTTAGGCAGTAACCATGAGAAATCAAAGGCTCATGGCACACGCGATTCCGGATGTTTTCGTCACAACAAACGCATGCTTTGAGATGTCGTGCTCAACAGACTTTGGGTGAGTTACTACGTCGCTGGGGTGTACATTGTGCGACGGTGTTGCCTCACAAGTCGAGCATTCTATACAGTCGTGACCCAAGGGGAAACTTCGTAGCCCTTCCCTGAGCCATATCACACATAAGCACACGGTGGCTGCTTGCATCTTCAACACTCCTCCTCAGGGAGCTCGAAAGGGCTCGCTGATCTCTTCATCAAGCCCGCTGCCACCGAGCGATTCTGTTAGAAGCACTTTGTGTGCTTTCCACATCCTCCCATGTCAACGTCACCCTCCCTGAGAGGTTCCGATGCCTCCACAGCCAGAGGATATATTTCAGTTGACGTAATGTGGGTGAGTTGAACTGCACAACTCGCTGAGACAATATCTTCGATAGTCTCACAGCCAGATCATCCTTGACACCTGAAACCATCGCTTCATGATTCCGCAAGCCCTGTCTCAGCTCATCGCAGTGCATTAGCATTAATGTATCATGACAAACTCGCTCGACCTCATCTTGGGTTTGCGTTGTTCGCTCCACTGTTGATGGGGTAGACGGTAATGTCGTGTGACCTTCCACCCTCCGTCTCAAAGGCGTGGTGGGTTCTGGTGGCATAGGTGTACTTTGTGACTCGCTTCTTGTCGTCGTTGAGGTCCTTGTAATTGTAGTTCCTGATGTATCCCCATGCTGAAGTACTTGTTGTTCTTGTGCCAAGCGGCTGAGCTCCTTATCGATCGCCTTTGCGGTGGCATCCCTTAGTCGCTGTAGCCGTTGTAGCTTTCTCCTTGAAGCACCCGGAGTTAACTCCTGATAACAAAGCACCACTCCCCACTTGATTAACTCATAGATCACCAATCCTCCCAGAACCATCAATAGAACTGCGCACGTTCCAGCCAGATCCCAGTCAACATTGATTGTTCTCTGTGGTTCCTCTGTTGCCTCAACCGATAGCATCATTATACAACAAATTGTTGCAACCAATACTCTTGCCGCCACCCATGATGACACCGTAGTCACCTTCTTTGCTGGCCTTGATCCATCGCAGATTCCCCAAAGCTCCAGCAAAGAAGCAATCCGCTGGGCACTCAAAGCCTTCGTCAGTAGGTCTGCTGGTTGAGATACTCCCGGTTGGTGCTTTGGTACCACCTCACCTTTTGAAATCATATCTTGGACCCATGCTGCCTTGAGCCTCAGATGGCGCGTCCTCCAAGACCCTGTGCCAGCACCGATCACTAAAGCACTTGTGCTGTCACTCTTTATGATCTTGGCCGTCGGCTCCACCATCAAATCCACTAGCATTGCTTCCAGCCCCATCATACCTGTTGCCCCATCCATGCAATATAGCCTGCAATTCGCTCTCCGCTGTACTAAGAGCGATTGTAGTCTGGCGGCTGCTGCGCCAAGTTATTGGATTGCCAGACCAGCAAATAAGCCATCCAGTGTGACTCTTGGCGCTAGACGGTGCGAACGCCGCGCCCGGGAAGAGCACCAGGTTGGTGTCGTCATTGCCAAAACTCATCCTGAGCTCCTTGGTGCCCTGGAGGTACTTCAAGGCCTTTCGTCCAATAGCAATGCAACGGGCCGGTGCCCTCAACGTAATTGATGCCATCAGGGAACAAGTAAATGACAGATCGGGTCTAGTACGGTGAGATAGCCACATCAGTTCCCCCGTTAGCCGTTGTGATGCGGCTATATCCTCTCGTGTTGGGATAATGTCTGTGTCCAACCGCTCGAAGAAGGCCTGTTCCTTCGACAAAGGTATCCTATCCTTCGCATCTGAGTCAATGGAATATGCTCTGAGGACTTCGTCGATGTAGCCCCGTTGGCTGACGTATGTTGTCGTGTCCCCCTCATACACCTGCAACTCCATGCCCAAAAACCGTATCGAGGAGCCTGGTCTCAATACCACAAGCTCTGAGGTACCCCACGTCCCTTGTATGGCATTCGCCACCTTGCGGATTGTGGATTCCTCTCCCAGAAGCATAAAATCATCAACATATATAATGACCACCGCTACGATGGCTCCGTGCTTATTCTTCAGGACCCACCAAGCAGTTATTGTATGTCCTTGTTGCAGTCGAAGACCATCCTGCACAGCCAAGTCCTGTAATACTCTGTCACGATGGGCCGACCATAAGGCCGGTGCCTGTCTCAAGCCGTACAATGCCCGTACCAGTCCCCACAGTTCTCCAATGACCACCAGGTTTAACTTCTCTAATAGTCGGGGAGGAGCCACCACCACTGTAGGGTCACCAGCCTCCGGACGAAGAGGCGTTCTCAAAAACGCCTGTATGACGTCAATTAAACCCACTTGCTACTTCCTCCTCTGGCTCTGGGCCATTGTAAGACCAGCACGTACCGCCTCAGAGGGAGCGGTTTCAGAGAAAAGGTCTGCTTGATCTGGTGCGGCGAAATTGCCGCATACCACTAACCGTGCCTTGCGTTTGTACCAGCTCGACGGGTCTTCTGTTGGGCTGTCCCCTGGCTTTATTGTAAAAACCATTTTTGTTGGTAGTCGTTGTGCTCCTGGACGCTGTAACCATTCCAACCTCTCGCCAGTGCCAGGGAGGAGCCGCTTGATAGCTACTGCAATACCATCAACCTCTTTTCTGATGGCCTTCTCCCATCGGTCAATATGTAGCAATACCTCACTGGGACTCAATGTATCAGTGACCTCCAGGGGCCCTGTCAAGCCAGAAATGATATCCTCCACTCCTGGGGTAAAGCTTGCCTCAACCTTGGACACATATACATCTGGACTGGCTTGAGGATCTTCTTCAGGTAGCCGAAACATGCCATAGCCGGTGTCCAAGAACATCTCCCATTCCTCCACGTCTTCATCCTCAATCTCTGGGCCCTCAACCACATCCTCGCATTGATCCACCACAAGTTCCTTGCACAACCAAGGTTGTCTTGCTTCTTGCATCACAAAGTACTCCGGGTACTGAGTGATCGGTGGGGGGAAACCATGGTCCTCCAATTGTCGAATCATCTCATTGGAAATCTTCCCCAACCCCTGAGGTGTGTATGCGATCAACATAGTCCTGTGGCCCTCCCAAGGTAGTACTTCATGAAGTTTCCGCGGTGAAAAGACGTTGCAAACTCCTTTCTTGACCTTGTACACCTGACCATAGCGCCTTCTGCCCTTATCATCCAACCGATCCAGAACTTCACCTTTGACCCCATCTCCAAGCTCCAGCTCAACCCATAGATCGCCCCCAGACTTGGGAACCCGTATTGGAACTACATAGTTCATCGCCTCCTCATTATTGTTGAAGTCGCGATGCATACCCTTCTCCATATCCCTAGCCACCCAAATAGCTGTGAAAGTCGCCTCTGGATTGTAGTAGGTCACGATTGAAGCCAGAACCTGCGACAGCTCCGGATACTCCTGGAATCCCATCAACCACCCAACTGTTCCCCCGTGGCGATAGATCCCGAACTTCGTCTCATCAAATATCCGCCGCTCTGCCAGTTCCTCAACAAACTGCAAAGCCTCCTCCTGGGACCAATTCTCGATCAGCCGCTGTGTAGGCTCGCAGCTCCTCCTGCGATACATTGACTGGCCTCATCTCCACCCGGTCGATGGGTGTCTTCTCCACCAGCTTGCGTCGTGGTTTAGGAGGTTCAACTCCTCCTTCCATCGCCTCAACGCCTGGGTCCACAAGTCCCGCCCGGACGTGTAGTGTATGTATAAACTTCTCCTTCTTATCGCCGTCTGGTGGTAGGTATACTAGATGTCCGCGATCGAGCACACCACTCAATCCAACGTAACGTCCTCTGGCCCATTTGCTTTCAAAGGCCTTCTCCCTCCTTCGTGGACCCGAGGAGTCCGCCACCTTTTGTTTGACAACGACGGGAGCCCCGTACGGGGCTAGGAGCTTCGTGGGCCCTCCTAGGATCTTGTTCCGCTGAATAGCAGTCGCCGCTTCGGCAGCCGTCGGCCAAAGCCTCGTTGGTAGCTTGGCACTCAGCAGAAGGGTCCGCGCTTGATCCTTCACCCATCTAACAGTTGCTTCTGCTAGGCCATTTTGCTGTGGCTTGCTAGGTTCCGAAAACGTCGCCCGGATCCCTTGATCCCGTAGCCATCCTCGAATCTGGTGGCAATAAACCTCACCCATGTCTGCGTGCAGCCGATACACCATCAGTCCTCGGGCTTGTAGATAGAGCACAATATCTTGGATTGCACTTTTCACCACACCTGAACCATTGGTAGGCAAAGCTCTTGCGAATATCAAGTGTGTTGCCTCCGGGGCGCATGAGTCTGGAAAACCATTATCATGACGCCGCTCCTCCTGCAACGGCTCATCGTCTTCCTCCAGCTCAAACTGGTGTTGTTGCTCCTCTTCTCCCTGTAACGACGGCTCGTATACAAAGTCCTCAGGGCCAACGTAATCCTCACGCTGTGTTTTGGTACTTCCCACAAAGCCTTCATTTCGATGTTGTGGTTCTTGGGAATGAAGCAATTCCTCCTCCTCTTCCGGCTGCCCCACTGGGTCCAACTCAAAGGGATCATCTTCTTGTAGTGGATGAGGTGAGGGATCGTCCCGCTGCTCCTCCTCTGGTAGTAGTGGAATACGCTTCAAGTCCTCCAGGACCTGCTCATCTGATGATTGTGGTGTAGGAGGTTCGCCTTGATCGTTGTTCCCAGCCTCTAGTGGTTGACCGGGATCACCAGCATCTTCTTTTCTCCCACACCAT